ACCAATTATTTCCTGTATTAAAGGTTCCTCTTAAAATAAGCATTTGCACATGAAAAGACCTGGTGGCTCATGGCTGTCTGCCTGTCCTCAGTCTGACACAGAGAGTGAGAAAACTGGGATTTGAACACTTCAGACAATTTGACAGACGGCTCACTTTCACTCAGGAAGACTAAGCAGCAAGTGAGCAGTAATACGAGAGAGTGACTTATTTCATGTAAATGTGTTCCTGTGTTTTTCTGTGTTCAGAAAACTGGACACAAGATATCATTTCATCCATCATCATATTTTGATGGATTACTGTTGCCATGATTGATAGTAAATGTACACAAACGTCTCTTTTAAATAGTATTCATCTGTTTTCTATGAGCAGGAATGGCTCACCATTAATTACAGCGGGTAAATAGAGCTGACTTTTGTGAAAGGTGCTATAATGAGCCTAATTTACATAGAAAGCAGGTATGTTTGTGCTAAAAAAATATGACAGTGCAGCAATATTTCAGCACATTTTGCAGCTAGATAAACTGTATTGTGGGTGGTAACTGAATAAGAAGTGGGTTTTTGCACTGGAATATTGCATGAAAAAATGCAATAGTTTTGTGAATTCACCCTCAGAGTAAAAGTATTTTATTCTTTAGATTTCGAGAATAGGAGCATATTAATCTATTCAAAATTTTTGCATTTAGTTTGTTCAAGATACACTGAACATCTTACACAAATTCTACCTACTTTGCATGTCATCATGTGTGTGTATTTCTAGGTACCTGTCATTCCAGCGCCTGTCCAAAGCCTTTCTCTGTATTTTTGTCTTGGCGATCAGCAGTGACAGCGCTGGTTTATGGGTGTCAGAAACCTTGGCTGTTGCCATGGCAATGCCACACTGCAATACTGTGTGCAGGCAGACTGTGCTTGCTGCAGCATCGACACAAGAACAGGACGGAGAACGGTGAGCGTTGCAGGAGAAACCTGCTGAATGCTAATCAGCCCCTCCACAGTTTGTCCTTCATCAGACCAGAGAAACACTGAGGATCTACATTAAACTTGTGCTCCCAATCTATCTCTGTTCTAGAACACATACCAATATCCACAAGGAGAAACATTTTGTTAGGCAAGCTACCAGTATTTATGCTATAAAATCTCATTTTCTCTGAGAACTTGAACTTTTTTTTTACATCAAAATTTTAGGATCAGTTCTACAGATATTTAGTTGTTTCATACATCTATTGATTTATGTGATTTGTTAATGTTGAAAGAAGTGTCTTTTTGTGGGTAGTTGACAAACAACATGTCAATGAACTTTTTTCTTTTTCTTTTTTTATATTAAAATTTTAGGATCAGTTTTACAGATATTTAGTTGTTCAGCATCATTACTCCAGTCTTTAGTGTCACATGATCCATCAGAAATCATTCTAAAATGCTGATTTGCTGCTCAAGAAACAGCTGTGCTGCTTTTTTTTTCAAGATTCTTTGATGAATAGAAAGTTCAAAAGAAGAGCATTTATTTGAAATAGAAATAAATGTATTCACTGTCACTTTTGATTTAATTAATTTTTTATGGTACTTGGCTGTTCACATAAATCGCTTTAAGAAATATGGTGTGAGAAATTCTATTTTAAAGTTCAAATATTACATGCAGTCTTTAAATTAATATGAGGTCCTAGAAACTACTATAAAATTATACATGAATTAGAAAAAGGTTGTTTAAAATAGTTTTGGAAGAAATAAACCATGTCACACTGCAGGGCACTGCTATACATGTCAACCACCCTCATACATTTTAATAAAGAACAGGTATAAAACTTTAAAAGTCCTCTGCTTGTTCTTCTTTTTTTTATTACGCCAGTGCTCTATGCAGGGCATATGGCCCAGTTTTTATTTTTTATTTTTTTTCAAATGTCTGCAAAGTTTGAGTTCTTAATCTGGATCAGAGGAAGCTGAAATGGAGCCTGTTTCAGCAGAGCAGTTTGTGAATCTCTAAACACAGAAGTTTGCCTCACGTCAATGCTGTCCGCTGCGCTCAGGTCGGTTTACGTTCTTCTGTTTCAAGTTCCTGACAGACTGTCCACTGAAATTGTCTCCAGCCTCCCACACATTACTTAATTTTATATAAACACATACTCAGTGTATACAGCAGTGAACAATGGTTTATTCCGAAGCCAAAATTTATACAGCGATTCTTCAAAATCACATTAGCTTTAAAGATGCATTGGCACTGACAGAGATTCAACTGTTAACGGGTTGCCAAATTGCTACACTGCTGGTTACTAATAGTTGTGCCTTGAACTCAACAATATCAGGCCACAAATCATTTGAGATTCACTGTCTCCAAAAGTCACTGCTAAATATTGGCATCAGACAGCTAACTTTCATTGAAAATGAATGACTTTTAAACTCTTCATTGCTAAAAATTGCTATCCCTGTGAATGCCACTTAAATGGCTTGCTTTAAGCCCAAATACATGGTAAAATACAACCATTCTCAACCATTTGACCTCTGAGAAATGCTTATGGGATGAAATAAACTACATATACAGTAGATGACAGGGAAGAGGAGGAAGGAGAAGCTAGTCTAAACACCCTAGAGTGATAGGAAAGTTAATGGGCCCTTTCCTAGTACCAATCAATCTGCGCTAATCTTCCTGCCGAGGGTTCTCCAGAGAGATGGCGGCCATGATTCAATTGGTGTGACGGCAAAGTCCACTCAGCCACATCTCCTGTTAGTCGCCAGACGCTTTACTCTCTAACACACTAAGTACAGGGATCATACACCTCAAGAAGAGACAGACAGATGAAATGGAAAGTTGGATGTCATTGAAAACATGCCTTTAACACTAGAACCGCCAGGGCTTGCAGTATACCTAAAACCACTCATGTGCGTGGGTAAATTTTACCCACGCACATGACAGCTGTTTCTGAATGGCTAAAGAACATATTATTTCACTGTATTACGCTACTGTCTTCACAAATAAGTGTCTAGAGTCATGAAATGATTATGTCTAGTCATCAACTATATTTTTGTCCTATTGTGTTATGTTCAAAACTTTTTTTATGCAGGCTACACTAGTCACTTTCCATAACGGTCAATATTAAGCTAAACGAGCCTGCACTGACAACGAGAATTAGAAGGAAGTAAATACATATTTAGGTGGTGTAACAGGCTATTATAATACAATGTCATTAATTAATATATTAAGATAACCTATGTTATTTAAATTACTAAAATAGCCTATAGACAATAATGAGCAATATTAATTCACCACATTGCATAGGATGATGCGATGACAAATTCAAGCGCACAGCTTCACCTAATTAACTATTTATTTGTTTAGTTATATCCTTTATAATTTGAATTATACAAGAAGAACACCAATAAACTTCAGGTAATTAAAAAAAAAGGTTTTATTCATTAGCCTACATCAGATCGGATATTTTTTCTTCAGGAAACAGGCAGACTAGAATAAATAGCAACACAGAAGCGAACAATAAACGATAGAAATGGCAAAACAAAAATGTAATAATCCAAATTTTGAACAATTATGAGAAACATTAGTATAAAACGTCTAAATATGATATATTGATCGCCGTCAGATGCTGAGCCGACAGGACACTTTACTTAGCTCCCCACCATCAGACTCTCCATCGCTCATGGCATTTAGTGCTTCTTATACCTCTTCAGCATTCATACATCGCCTTCTTTTAGCCATTTTGTCTTTATTTATGAAACTGATAACCGCTAATTCAGTGAGTGAAAGGTGTTGCCTAGCAATGTACTGTTAAAACATAAGCAGCACGAAAATGACAGCGCGAACATACAGGCATTATATAGCGGGTAAATTTGACCCGCACTGGCACTTATAGGTATAAATGCCCCGTTTTTTGATCTGGTTTTATCTAAACAGTTTTTAACAACAGGGGATTGTAAATCACACAATTTTAGTAAAGGCCAGTGACTGGGAGACGTGAATGTTTTATTAAAAATATTTTATGTACGTTTTAAAAACATTCACGGGTAAAATTTACCCCGTGGCGGTTCTAGTGTTAAAGGGATAGTTCACCAAAAAATGAAATTTCTGTCCTTCCTTTGAAAGTCCAGGTAACCAAAATGAAATCCATATGAGTCAAGTAGCCTAATCCAAATTCTGTGAGATTTAATTTAGGTTATTGTTTTAATTATAAACTCACATGCATAAAGCACATCAAATATGGTTAACATGGAAGTTTAAAATGAACACTTAAAATGCTCTTTATTATAAATTAATTTTACAATACATTTTGTAAAACATTGCATTGCACACATAACATTGCAAACATTACACATTGTATCTTCAAAGTTCTGGTTACCTGGACTTTAAATTGAGGGACAGACAGCTTTCAGGTTTCATAAAAATACCTTAATTGGTTATTCAAACATTAACCAAAATCACATGGGTTTGGATCGACATGAAGGTGAGGAAATGATGACAGAATTCTCATTTTTGGGTGAACTATTGATTTAAGTAAAAAACCCTATAGTGCACAACTATGTACTACACAATCAAGTCTGACATTGTCCATTTTACCTTTGCTTCCACCTCAACACATACAATCATTTGCGACAGCGTTTGACTAAATTGCATGAACACACATGACTAAATGCACATGACTAAAGCAAGCAGACGTTCCAAATGCCCAGCCTATTTTGAAGCCCTGCTCAATCACACACTTCCCTCTCTGTGTGTCAGCACGGGACAGGCTCGTCTTTTTTCCAAGCAATTGTGCCAATGTCCCACATTCCAGCTGGCCTGCGTCCCCAACCACCATAGATGTGGGGGCGGTGCAGGACGTCTCACTTCCTGAACTAAAAATAATGCAGATGGTAATAAAACCTTGGCCTGCTACATACTCCCCAATGATCCCAGCTCCCTGTGACTATGATTTAGTTGGGATTGATTAACCATTATGACCCAGTCAAGGGATTCTGCTGAATCATTACATACAACATTAATAATAAGCAATCAGACTCGCCTCCAAGCTGTACTCTTCCACAGTTCTCTTCAGCGGATCCACGATCTGCCAGCATATGAGGATGCACAAATCAATCAGCAACATCCCACCCACGATGATAAAGAGCTTCTGGTCCTTGATAATCTGGAAGAGAAAAAAAAAGCAAAAGCAATGGATGAGGTGATTAAGGGATGAGAAAAAGGAAGAGATGGGCAGGAACCATCAATGGACTGTTCGTTCAATTCAAACGCATGATCTTCTCTCGCATTCTGAACCTTTGTGGATGAAAGCCCTGCTCCTGTCTGATCTTTTTCTCTTTTCTTCTATTTAACAGTGGTTGACCTGAACAGAACCCAAATCAAAGGAAAGGTCACCACGAGGAGGCCTGCGTGTATTCTAGAGGAATCAGACGGCGGGAATGGACAAATTCTTCCGTGATTCAGAATAGAAACGCTAACTCGTTTTGATCTGATGTCTTTTGATGGCTTACCAATGGCCAAAACCTTGCGTCGTGGGAAACAAGCAGGTGGTGAGTTACTCTGTGACCATTGAGCACCATGCTGAATTCTATCAGAACAGATGCTCTTTATCTTCAATAAAACAGAGGTTGATGGTTTCATTAAATGGCAAGACATTTGAAATAACACAGGATCATGATACTTCAGAACACATCAGCACAATCACTGAAAGCAATGCCGTATGACCACTGAACTTCACTTTATTGCACAAAATCTCCTTTCATCTCGGCAAACGGAAGGTGATGATGGATCAAAAAAAGCGAATAGCAGTCCTAAAATCCCCCCTCCACACTTTACGGCTACAAATATCCCCTGAACTTAAGGCAGAGGTTATTTGCACTAAGTGCAAATAACGATAGAAGCTATTTACAGTAAGTAAAAATAGCAACATTTTCTTTGCACAAAAGCTATTTATACTTAGTGTAAATGGTGTCAGATACTCTTTGCACCTCAGCATATTGGGACCCTATCGAATGTGGGTTGTTCATGTCAAAAGGTAAATGAAATGTCCTGACTCTTTATACCACTCTACCGGAGTGGTTTCTTTTGTCAGCCTGTCTGGCCCCACCAGGCAATTGTGGGTGGAGTTAGTGTACACTCTTAAAAATAAAGGTGCTTCAAAAAGTTCTTTAAGTGATGCCATAGAAGAACCATTTTTGGTTCCACAAAGAACCATTCAGTCAAAGGTTCTTTAAAGAACCATCTCTTTCTTACCTTTTTATAATCTGAAGAACCTTCTTTCGCCACAAAGAACCTTTTGTGAAACAGAAAGGTTCTGCAGATGTTAAAGGTTCTTTATGGAACCATTTAGACAAAAAGGTTCTTCTATGGCATCGCGGAGCACCTTTATTTTGAAGAGTGTAAATAGCCTCTGCAACAAGATGGACTATTTGTACTTACAATTTGCACAAAAATAATTTGAAACAACTCAAGTGTCTAGTCAGAGGTGCAAAAATAATAGTAATGGTTTCCCAAAAACTAATTTTCACCCCTGTTTGCCATTGGTAATACCACACCAAACACAAGCCATTGGCAGCGCTATTAGTTGACATGACAGACCAATTAAAGGGACAGTTCACCCAAAAATGTAAATTCAGTCATCATTTTCTCATCCTCCTCATGTCGTTCCAAACTGCTCAAAACTGTCTCAGTGTTTTTTCAATGAAACTCAATGGGGTCCAATGTTGTTTTAAACCACACTGACTTTCATTATATGAAAAAAAAAAAGTTTTGTTTCTTATAATTTCCTTTTTGTGTTTTGCAGAATAAAGTCATACAGGTTCTGAACGACATGAGGTTGAGTAAGTAATGACAGAATTTACATTTTTGGTTGAGGTATTCCTTTAAACAAACACTAACACAAATAACTTCATTATAGACATCTATGTACATTAAACTGGGAAGTGGTGCTTTAGCAACGAAAGAATGACACACTTCACCTTTAATGTCGCTAATTATGAGCTTGTAAACCAATAACATTTAGTTTGAAGACCCAATAGCTCTGCTTAAGCTTTTGTATTCATGATTCAAATTGCTCACCATTTGTACAAGATTATTGCTGCAGGTCTACAAGAGCATGTGGTGCATTAGTGTCAGATTGTGTTTGTGCTCAGTCTAAGTTATGCAGGCCATCATGTGTTTGTGTCTGATTGAATTTACAGATGCACAAATCTCTGATGCCATCTATTTGTGACACTGTGTGTTCCATAATGCAGTCCGAGTCTCTGAATGATGCATGATGCAGTATGCGGGTGCGCATGCAGGTTTTTGCCACACAATAATGAATATAACTGTGTATATATGCTGTAAAAAGGAGAAATCAGACTGATAGACCAAATAAATTCAAGGCTTAAAGGAATAGTTCACTCAAAAATGTGTGTGAACTCACCATCAAGTCTTTCAAGCTTCAAAAGGAATTTGTAAAAGCACCATAATTTTTTTCCAAAAAGCACTCCATTTGACCTACGCACTATATACTAAGTATGAAGTCATGTGACAAACAGAAGATTAATAATGGCCTACATTTTTCTTTGTTTTTCACACAAAGCTATCACATGAGTTCAGAAGACTTGCACACAAGTCATACAGACTGCTTTTAAAGCATTTTCATATATTTTTTGCCTTTTTCAGTTCCAATTTAATGTAATTGCAAGGAAAGGAGCACCCAGGAAGGTTTTCAGATTTCATACACTTTGAAGAACATTTGAACTGTTTTTGTCCATGTGATGAAAGTCAATGGGTCCAAAACAACACTGGACAACACTGATTTTGAGGGTGAGTAAATGATGACAGAATTATAGTTTTCGGGCTGAACTATCCCTTTCAGACTAATAATCTGTGGCCCAACTCATTTTACAGAAGATAAATACATCTTTATTCAACTAAAATCTGCACAATAGAGAAATAACTAAACAAGAAACAAGCATGACTGTGTGCCGTATAGTTTTGCATGCGTGTTTGAGTGTGTATCTGCTCCATCTCCCTTTGTTCCTATCTCAGATTTAAATCTAGCAGAGGCAGATGTACGACCCATCGAGGTGACTGACATAGCCCTCGCTGAGCCCCAAGGCAGGGAGAGACTGTTACAGACCCCTCGGACTGCCGGACCTGCATTGAACTGCGGCTGATTTGCCACGGGCTGTCCGTGGAGTCACATACTGTGAGACTGCTTCTCAGCTTGATAAAGAGATGGCACACCCACATGCAGACTCACAAAACACAGTCCTGACAGCAGCCATCGCTTTAGAGTGCCAAAGCCCAGCAGTCCATCACTGCATGGAGCGGGAGTCAGCTCACTGCCAACTTCTTGCACACTGAAGTGCCAGAGGGAATTAAAGCCCTGAGCCTGGGCATTACCTGTCTCTGAATTTATTTATATGTAGCGGGTCCAGTTAAGAACTGCTAATTGAGTAGACACTGGGGGGAGGGGGGGGTGACTTACATGAAATGTATCAAGCTGGAATTACATCACAAACTCCTAAACCTTTGTTCTGAACTCCATTATCAGGGAAAACTGGATTTTTGTTGCTCCTTAATTCTAAAATAAATAGAAATAAAAGATTTTGACATACTGTGTATACAATGTAATGCACCCCACTTGACTGCACATTTCCAGAGTAATACTGAACAAGATTTTGAACTTATCTTTCTTTACTAATCATTTGATCAGAGTGGCAAATGTTAACACATTTGCACAAAACTGATTCAAAGATGCAAAATATCAAAATATCAAACTTGGTCCAAAGTTTAGCTTCAAAAAGAAGGGTAAAAACTGCACTACAATAATTAACTAAATTAAAAACTACATTTTGATGAAACATTATCAGTGGACTTCCAGGAAAAAAGAAAATGCTGAAAGTGTAGAATATGGCCACTTAAAAATAATCTTCTGGGTTCAGTGAAGCTCTATTGATATCGTCTGGGAAATAAAATAGGCTAACATAAAAACTTTCAATACGCCTCTTACAATGGAAGCACAATAAACATTAAAATATACTTTCCACAGTTTTAAAAGTAAAGCCTTAAGACTTAAATGGGTGATAGAATTGCTTAATGATCACTTGGAATGCTTAGTTACCTCAAAACTTTTATACTTAATAAACAAGCTTTAACAAAAATACAAGTTTTGCATTTCAGCATTTAAAAATATTTTGCCTGGTTTACTTACATTGTAAATATGTCTTAAAAAGCTGGAAAAAAAGCTAAAACCTATGGTAATCAGCATGCCACAAATGCTGTCAATATTGTCAAATATGTATTGAAGCAGTGCTGTAATTGTTATCTAAAACTAAAACTATTACTATTATTTGTTGATTTAAGTAAATCAGATATAACATATAAATATTAGAGGAAAAACTTGCCTTAGCAAATAAATGAAATAAAATAGGTTTAAGTTTACATAAAAAAACTAAATTAAAAATAGATAAATAAATTAATTAATTAAAGCTACTGTACATAGAAATATTAAAAATAAATAAATAAAAACAAGTAAAACCAATAAAAATGACAAAAATCTAACAAAAATGAAAATAAAAACTGAAAATATAATATAAAAGCTAATTCAAAATATTAATAAATACTATAAAAAATCTGGAAGATTACTTTGAAGTTATGGCTAGTTCTCTGCATCAATGTTTATCACCCTCTGTCTTACTTTCTCTTTCTGTGTATGTTTCACTTGATCTCACCCTACTGATTCTGACTGCAGCAGTGGAAGTAGGCTGTGAACTCTATAAATAAAGATGGCCAGCAGGGCGCTGGAGCTGTGGCTAGCCATCCTTTACAGCACTGTCATACAGTATCAGCTGCTTCACTCGCCACATTCTTACACTGCACTGAAAAACAAGAGCAGCGAGAGAAAGAGCGTATGAAAGGAGGTCAGTGTGTATGCTTGAATCTGTTGTGTTAAAGAGCTGCATGGATGCACTTGTGCATAGCTTCTGTTCAAAAGAAACCCACTGAACTATTCCCCATAGCAGTGTGATGCTTTTTCTTGTGGAGGAAATTCACACACAGACTTGTGAAGACTGTTTCTAGCAGAGCAGGAAGACTCTGTTCTTTAGAAGAGATCAGAGATTCATTGGTTAGCACCGGCAGTGCTGGCTGATTCTGGATATGTCAGGAAAC